CCCACCCCCCCCCCCCAGTCACTGCGATTGGCAGCTGGGGGACCGCCCCCCACAGTTGTGCCCCACTGGTGCCTCTCTAGACTCAGTAGGCACCAGTTGCCCATGCTTCTACTTGTGTAAAATGAACTGTACATTTCTGCAACTCTTCCTCACCCTTGACTAGTGTGTTGAATGCTCCTCCTTCTATATTTAAACACATATAGCAGAGGTCAGATTAACTTTTGGGGAGCTCCATGTAAAGGTGGAGTTTTGGACCCCTATTCTTTACCATGTTTCAACATAACCATAATGCAAAAGGGAGTCTCTGACTTGCCTTGGGGCTTTGTGTAGTTTTATAATTTGCACTGGCATAATGCTTCCCATAAAGGGTAGGATAGAGGATGTCAACTGAAATGAGTTGATGGGCCAGATCCAGACCACAGGGCTTCTCCAGATCTTGTCCACAGGACTTCCCACTGTGGCTGCCAGAGATGCTCTGTCAGCACCAGCAGTAGGTTTAATGCTGATGCTACTCAATCCCCACCAGCATGGCTGCTGGAACTGCAGTGTAAGGGCAGCTAGCATTCAGGAAGCCCATTGCTAATGCTTCCTCTTTCATTTGGCAGTCAACAGCAACTGAAAACACTAAATACAGCAGCAGCACTCACTCTCTGCAGGCTGATTGTACTGATGCCGAGGTTTAGGTTTCTATAGCTATAGTGGCAGGGGTCAAGCAACAGTGACATTAATTCCTTTGCTGCTGGCACCAATGTAGTGGCTGTGGCAGTTACAGTGAGAAACCCTATGTGCCAAATGACATACATCCATGGGCTGGATCTTGCCCATAGGCCATATGTTTGACACCCCAGGTATAGGCAAATACCTTTGTTTTATAACAACACAGTTTTGTTTAATGTAAACACAAATGTTGCCATTTACAGCATTACTCTCTAGTGCCTTTACAGAGTAATGAATCATAATGAATATATTTAAATTTCTTTCAAAAGTCATGTCCGGATTTAAATAGCTCAGTTTGTTTAATTGTTTGCTTTATTTCTAAATACCAAATACAATTCAACCATATTAAAACCTGATCTCTTGAAAAAGTCTCTCTTGAAAACCAGAAGACTTTGACTAATAGGAAAACATACAGGTCTGAAACTAATGCATTTCTATTTGCTTCCTATTTAATTGTTCCTCTTAAACCTAAAAACAAACCCATGAGGCTTGACTGATTTTTTTCAGACAATTAAAATGCAAGTTCTTGAATTTTAGTCTACACTATCAAGTCCATCAGATTTCAGCTAGGAGAGGCACTTCATGGACATGTTATTTAACATGCAGAAGAAGAGATTTACAGTATGATGGAGCTGTTAAAAGATTATTAATAATAGCACTATTGCCAGTTGCTGCTTTGATAATTTGACATAAGCAAAATGCTGATTACTTAATTAACAATGCCTTCTTCATTTACTTTTAGTTCCCTTGTTTGTGAGTGGCCACAGCTTGGGATGAAAAGCAATGAAGGATGAAAGCCTTTCACTTGCTATAAATTACAACTGGCAGGTCCAGTAGAGATGCTCCTAAACATTACTTTTTAGTGCAGCATTACTCACATACCTTAAGACATCAGAGTAAAATGTAATGTCTATTCCTATGTCTATCTATGCATCTAATATTTATATAGACACCAGAGAAGAAAGTACTTATTAGGTGACCCTCATTCAGAGCGGTGAAAAGTTCAACAAGGGATGGCAGATTGTAGTGATTACTGTTTTCAAGGCTCCAGATTTAAGTTATTTTACCTTAAAAATACTCCTTAAACCTTTTTTCTGTTAAGTTAAATGTAACTGTGTCCCTCTCTCTGTATTTATAACCTCTCTGAATTGCTTTATATCAATTACAGTCCAGTAATGAGACTATTAAGTAAGATCCTCACAGCAGCTCACCCTGACTGAGTACATTGCCATTTGTTATTAGTCCTTGTTTGTGGTCATTCAGCAAGTTTCAATCCATCTGACAGTGTTTAAAGTCAAGCTTATTTGTATTAATTTCAGGAGATAATTGGAGAAGATTCTAGCTGTTATTCTGTTTTTATTGTGCTTCACTGATAGCATGAAGCAGACTAATGTGATTGTCATCTATAAAGTAGATCCTCACCAATCACCTCCTGGGCTTGACATATTGGGAATATACAGGAGAAAGGCTGGGTCACTAGAACATGCCTGAACAATGGCACTTCTAAATTGCTGGAGAGCCTTTCAGAATAGTTGGTAATTATCCTTATATAGGAGGATTCTAAGAAGGCAGATCATGTGTTGCTGCCCTTATAATTATAAGGAAATTGCAAAAACCATTTTCTGAAGTTACCTTTGTGCCATACTGAACAATGTTAATCTGGAACATTTGCTGGCCATTCATGTGTCAAAAATTTACAACAAACAACATTTATTTTATCTATTATTAATCTGGTGGTTTTTATTTTAAAAAACCCCCATCTAGGTTGTCTGGATGTACTAGTTGACCACGTTTCCAATAACCTCCATTAATGTTTGTTCCATTAATTTTAAATTAATTACCATGAACATTGTTGTTGTTCATTTTTTTTTTCATTTCCAAGTCAAAGGAAAAAAAAAGTCAAAATGACCTTTTTTTGTAGGAAGGAATTTCGGGGGGGGGGGAAGGGGGGAAAGCAGAGAACGGGGGACAGGACATTTTAAGAGAGCCAAAATGGAATTATTCCACTTACCAGTTCCCCAGCAGGGGAACAAACGCTTTTGTCTATTTCACTTTCTTCCTATAGACAGAAAGTAAAATTAACAAGAGTGTTCTAGGCAGAGTGCTAGAGGCTATCTTTTAGCTCTCTGTCCTCCATCCTTGCTTTCCCCCCATTGGCTTGGTTGTTGGAGAGGCAGCCAGGTGGCTGCAGCTTCCTGGCTCCTTGCCTAATGGCTTTTGTCAATTTTGCTTTCTCCCTGCAGTAGAAAGACAAAAGTCTTCCAGAAGGACAGCTGGAGGATCATTGTGCAGATTTTTTCCAAAGGATGATATTTATGTTCTCAGCAAAACTGAAATTTATCCACTGAAAATTTTTCTGCTACAAAAATAGGATTTTTATATTTAAAAATTACTCCAGTGAGAAATCCCTGATCTGTTCTAATTTTACTAAACTTTGAGAGTAAGCTGTATGGAGCGATCCATTCAAGAAGCATTGATCTGTAATTAGGACTATGTTAGGAGGAACTATAGTACTGATGTGCCATTTTACACAAGAGTGGTGAAGTTAAGTTTTCCTGACGCTTCTCATATCAGTGATAATCTACAAGTACCCATTTAGTTTCATTTAGATAACATCGTCTTCTTTTTGTGTCATAAACTGTTGTGCTATATCACATCAAAAGTTTTAGGGGCAGGTGACAAAGTTTTGTATTTTGTTTGCAAGGCACTAGATTCACAAACATATTTGGATGTCCAACTGCCATTTTAATAACTGAAATTCAACTTTTAAATCCTAAAAATCCTTTCACAGATATCATCTCATCCTAAGGGCACCCAAGATATCCATAATATTTTCTACCAGGGGTTGGCCACACACAGGCCTACAGCCTTAATTTAGTGCACAAAGCCATTGGATCAGGACCATAGAGTTGAGGGTCTTCATCTGTACTGGGGCTGGGGCTTCATTCATGCTGTAGCCAAGTGGTGTGTGTGTGTGTGTGTGTGAGGTGGCAGGGAAGTGGGATTTTATACATGTTGCGTCTAGTCAATGGGCGGGTCTTGCCCATGCCATGCTCTCCAGCCACTGAGCAGAGAGCTTCATCTGTGCTATGGCTGAATAGTGGGACAGGGCTTTGCAGGCAAAGCCAGAATCATGCCAGAGTCATTGTTATCATTGGCAGTCGCTTGATATGAGGATGGCAGTCTTTCAGTAAATAGGGAAATTATTGGTGAGTCTGTACATGACTGAGGAGGCTGACCTGAGATCCACATGTTTGACTGCAGACATGGCAAATAGTTCAAGGAGGAAGGAAATTGTGAGGTTGTCAGGTCACAGCCTTTCCTTTTGTCTCTTTCCAGCTCTGTAATGCCATGAGTTTCTTTAAAATATCTATGCCTTGTCATGCATCTCAGACAACTGGGAATGATTCATTGCTTCAGTCTTGATGTTAATAATACTGATGTTAATATCACATTTCTTCTGATTTGCCTTCAAACCATCCTTTAAAACTGTCCTTTGCCCACTCAGAGCAGTGATCATTGGTGAATTGGAAATATATAACCTGGTTTAGAAGTTGGTTGCCAGTTCTGCTTATTACTTAGCCTGTCCAATGGAGCTGATGCCATATAAACATGGCTTCAATGTTGGCAGTGTTTGCTTGAGCCAGAAAGCTGGCATTCATTCTTCTCTCCTTCCACTTGATATGGAGGATTTTCTGAAGACATTGCTGATGATAACGTTCCAAAGCTTTCAGATGTTTCTAATATGTCTTCCAAGTTTCATACCCATACAGCAGGGTAGGATGATAACAAGTCTGGTAAAAGAGAATTTTGGTTTGGGTACTGCTGTCATGATCATCAAAGACTCAATTTCAGAGATGTCCAAAGCACTAGCAGCTTTTATCAGATGTTGAATATCATTGTCTATGTTTATTTTTTGGAAAAGGTGGCAGAAGATGTAGAAGCACAAGCCCACTTCAGACTCAAGTCAGATTGATCCAGCCTACTTCAGCAAAATCTTGCTGACTGCTGTCCTAGAGACCTACATTTTAGCTTTTGGGCATGCCCAGAGTCATCTGTATTTATGCACTTAGCTCAGCCCTCAGCCCTGCCATGATCAACAGGTGTTTTCCTGCCAATCTTTTCTGCAGGGCCTAACATTGTAGGTATGCCTACCAGATCAGGCCTCATGTAAAGTCAAGGTGTGGGAGTCACTCCTGCCCCTTGCACAGTTGCTAGAGTCCACCACCTAATACAGTGGTTAGAGTCCTCAGTAGATGGGAACTTGTGTTCAGGTCCTTCTACCGCTTGACTGGACTCAATCCCACCATCCTAAGAAGGTGTACTAACCATTAGGTTTTAGGGTATTCTGTCATGTAAGTTCTCTCCTCAGTCCCACAAGTTTTCACGGCATAATTAAATAACCACTGAACCAGAAAGGGGACATGACTCACTAACATGCTTGTTAGGGAATTTTCCTGGGATGGGAAGATGGATTCCAGTTCTAGTTCCACCTAATGTTTTTAAGCATTTAGTATATAGAGAAGGGGAGCCAAAATGATCGGGGATATGGAGCAGTTGCCATACCAGGTGAGACTAAAAAGACTAGGGTTCTCCAGTTTCGAAAGGATACAATAGAGGTCTATAAAATCATGAAAAGTGTACACAGAAGTGAATAGGAAACAGTTATGTATCAATTCCCAGAATACCAGAACTAGGGGGCACCCACTGAAATGAGTAGGAGACAGGTGTAAAACTAACAAGAAAAAGTACCTTTTTATGTAGCACATAGTTAAATGGTGGAATTCAATGCCACAGAAGGTTGTAGGGGGAGGTAGTATAGCCAGATATAAAAAAAAAGGACTAGACAAATTTATAGAAAATAGTTATTAATATTTATTAAACAAAACAGGCAGACTTGTTTCCTTTGGCATATCTAAATGTTGGTGGATGTAGAAACAGACTACTGGGCTAGATGGTTTGGATTGGTATGATACTTCAGATGTTCTTATTTTATCTCAAAGGTTCCCTTTGTTTTTATTATATGGGAGACCAGAAGTTTTCTGTTTACCTATTAATGGGATTATTTTTGGGTGGGGGGAGAAGGGGGAAACAGACCATCTTATCTTGCATTCCCATGCACCGCATAATGTAATTAAAATTCTGATTTTTGATACTTTCTAGAGTCTACATAGCAAACTTACTTTCACTTCCTGCTTGGTTATAAAGTCAACTGGGGAGAACCAGGAAAAAAGTGAGGCTACATTATGAAAAATCAGTATGCCTTTTGTTAAACAAAATAAAAATACAAAACAAATTGCCAGTTTAAGGTTTACCATGGGCAGCTTTAATTTGCACCCTGTCCATTTGCATAAGATTTTTAACATAGTAATTACTAAAGTGCTCATTTTGAATGGATAATTTCCACAGCACATCTGCAAAATGTCTTCTTCCACCCACCCTTATATTTGCAAAAGAAAAATATATAACTGTTTAAACTATAGTGTAGGTTCCTTCTGTGTACATCATTTCTCATCTTTTATTGGATTGAAATAAAACAACCCCCAAAAAACAAATAAAAGGACCCCTAAACAACCAAAGAAATCAAACAAAGATGAAGTCTGAAATGCACAATAGAGCTAAGTACAGACATTCAGAAAGCCCAAGGCAGAATTGATCCAATCTTTGTGGGTTTCTCTAAGCTGTGTAGATTGGATCAGGAGCCAAGGGAACATATGTTTGCCCTTTGGTGGTGGGGGGGAGGCGTGGATGAAGGCATATACCTACACTGGCTGAGGTATGGGGGCTGGGTCCATGCAGTGGAGACTCTGCTCACCCCCCTGCCTCTGGTTCCTGGTGTGGTGGACAGCCATGTGGCTCTGAGCTACAGTTCCTGGTGTCAGCTGTCAGGCAGTTAAGCGGGGGTGAGGGAACCCCACCATGGGGACCCACCCCTCTGCTGTCCTGTCTTGGAGCCAGTGCTTCATGATGGGGGAGCTTCATTTCCCCCACCCAAGTTCCCAGCCTGGCTGACAGCTTCAACCAAGAGCCTCAGCTCGGAGCTGCATGGCTATGCACTGTGCCAAGAACTTGAGGGGGAGGAGCGGGGAGGGGGCTCCGCATGGATCCAGCCAAGCCTCACCAGAGCAAAGCAATCAACTGGGGGGGGAGGGGGACTGACATGTGCAGCAGTCTCTGTTCCTCTCCTCTACCCCTTGCTCCTGATGTGGTGGAAAGCCATGCAACTCCAAACCACAGCTCCAAGGTATAGCTGTCAAGTAGTTCATGGGGTGGGGGGAGCCACTTGCCATACCCCAAGCTGTGCTGGCTTCAGGGGACTGGGTGGGGTTCTCTGCTTTACTTCTGCACCCCACCACCACTGCTGACAGCTGGTGAAGGGGCAGGGCTCTGGAGAGAAGCCATGCTAGCTAGGCAGGAGGGAAGGGGGTAAGCCCCCATTATATAGCCCCTCCAGCTCTGGTAGCTGGGAGGTGGGTGAAAGGCCAGGGCAGGGGCTGGGGCTTCCGCTTCATCCTCTGCCTGGCCTGGCTGACAGGTGCATAAAGGATGCAAGGCTGGAAAGCAGAGGCTTTGCTGCCTCAGCTCTGTGACAAGCTGTGAGTGGGGGCAAGCCCAGAGTTTGGCTGGAGAAGATGAGCATGAGACAAGGCTATCCCACCTGCCCTGTGTTGGAAGATTAGCAGGGAATCCACAAAAAGTCCTAGGATACTGGAGGACTGCAACCCACCTTGAGTTGGGAGGGGATCTGGGACAGAATTTCGATAGACTGGTCTAATTTAAACTGATTAATTCTGATACTGCATCCATCCAGGTCTATCTTCCACCATTTTAAACCAGTCTATTTGCACTGAATTTCTGTTTTGTTATGGGTTTAGACCAGTTTCCAACTACCTAAACTGGAAAAGTGTGTCTGCTCCTGGCTTAGGTGGCTAATAATAAATATATAGAGAAAGCAAAATTAAAAAAAGAAAAGAAATGAAACCCAGTGGTTCATGCTGTTGATTACTCTGTTGGGGTATATTGTATTTTCTCACATATTGCTCCTAAATAAAATATACACAATATTTTTGAAAGACAGAATGAAAAAAAAATCTTTCCTTAAAAATATTGGTAAGTACAGTATTTTAAAAGGGAAAACAAAGGTAGCAGAGGGGGGATCAAACACTGTCCCTGTTCTGTTAACCCACTAGCTGTCAGACACTGGAGGTACTTTTAGCTAATCTAAATTGCCTGACCTCTCTTTTCTTCTCACGCTAAGGTGAGTGGAAAGGCAGCAGTGCTTGTCAGATCAGCTAAGGGCCTGATCCTAGCCAGTAAGACCTGCAGAGCCAGGTGAGGGCTCACCCAGCTGATTGAGCAGGAGCTTCTTCAGCACTCAGATATGGCTCTGCTTTAGAAATACAGTAGTTCAGAGCCCTGGGTGCTGGAGCAGAGGCTACTGCTGAAGTAGCATCTCCTTCTGCATGAACCTCTTCTGGGAGCAGTTAGGAGTCCCCTGTGCAGTGCAAGCAGCATTCCTTTCTCTTTCCCCCAGCAGAGGGTCATGATGCAGAGGCTGCTATGACCATATTTCCTCACTTAAAATGTATATACCAATTTCCAGCAAGTGATTTTTGGGGAAAAAAAGGTACATATTCTGTGCAAGAAAATATGGTAAATGCTGGTGTCACTCCTGAGGTATGGGAGGGGTTAATAAAGACACTAGACAGGAGCTAGGAATCAAAAAGCCTTCCAGCTGGAACTGATAATAGCCTCTATTGGGTTAGCACCTCATAAGAAAAAGGGACTAGGTGAGGGAAACATGCTTTCCTTGGGAGAAATAGCTCTGACCTGAGCAACTTAACTGATTTTTTTGGTTACTTAGTACAATTTCCATCTTCACAGGGAGAAGTGTTTCTGAACAGTAAATGAATCAGGTGAAGATCCTGTTGAAGCTAATCAGCTTTAGGCCTTTACTATTTGATTTTATAATTTAGGTTCCCTTCTCAGTTTGTTATTTTGCTTGGCTTCTTAACAAGCGTTGAACTTCCACCTTCTTCCCCCTTTTCCCCTATGGGCTATTCTGTAGTTACTCACTTCTGAATCCTTTTTTATGGCTAGCAACATAATTAATATCTTCTTGATGTTCATTCTGGACTTTCAACTTCTTTAGCATCATGTGATTATTATACCACACATCACACATGCAATTGAAACAATTATTCTACTATGCGTTGCTGTCACCCGATTCAAACACATAGGAAGTTAAGAGACAGTGTTAATTAATGGAGATAAGAATATTTTTCTCTGAGTTAGACTGTTTTCAGCCAACTATCCTAAAGAGTTCAGCTTCTTCACAAGCTACAATTCTTTGCACTGCTGTTCTTGCCTATCTTTCCTGGGCATTGTTCTTTTTCTCCTTGGGTTAGGAAGCTGGGAATGTATCTTTCTCATCAGTGACGTTCAGTAGTAGAATACAAATGCCAGTAGGAATTGTAATAATGACATATCATAGGAAAAGGCAAACAGTGGATCATTAGAATTGCGAGCTGTACTCTTCTTTGCTGTTGCAAAGTAAATAGAAGTCAGGTTGACTGACTACTCTATCATGATTCCTACATTTCTGTTTTTCAAAATCTATTTCCTGTAATGCAATGGTGGGTGTCCATGAAGACTAATTTGTAGATGGAGGTCATTCTTTAAGGAGACAGGACTGTCAGATAAGCTAATAATAAATATACATTTAAAAGACCATAAATGAAGATAGATGGTGTAATTAAAAAGTAATTATGGAGGAA